AGCCCCCGTCATCCACTGTAACAATAATTGGGGAGATTGTATTCTAATATTGGTCTATTATAGTCAGATAACGTAATGATCCACTGTCTTCACTATAGGAAATATAATGAGTGAATTGAATCAATGTTTTACTTAAATATGTGGTGAAATGTTTTTTGGGGCCATAAAAGAAAATTACAACAGGATTGGACGGTTATGAATGCAGAATAAGTTAGTTATGATGTAGTTAAAACAATATTTTTTGAGTGTTTTGGACTGAGATAAATCATGGGTCAAAATTGACCCGCGAACACCATGAACGATAACAGCTTTTGAACACAACACAAGGGTTAATAGAAACCACTGTTCACTGTCATACACTCCAGCACAAGATTATTGTATTGAGTTAGAGCTGAAATGGCTGATTCATCTCGTTTTCGTTGGTCATAAATTAGGTTAAATTATCGACAATTGTGATTACCCATTTGTCATTTAAGCCATTTACCATTTGTCAAATTATTTCCAATTGCTTTGTTTCCCTCTCTTATATTCTGAAAACCTGGGTTATAGACTAATGTTCCTATACCATGTAATTTACTATGCTATACTATTTACTTCAATTCACAAAGACTTATCTCAGTTAGTGGATTCTTTGTTCACCGTGGAGGAAGGTAAGAAAAACAACGGTTTCTTTAAGATTTCAAGGTCACACAGGGGGGGGGTAACTGACATACAAATGATCATTTTGAGGGCAACGTATTCCTTTAAGGGAATTCCTCTGTGTTTCCCAGGAAGCGTCCCCTCTCCGATCATCATTGATCCAGATGAAGTGTTGGGGCTAACTGTGTGTCCAGGTGCTCTCTTTATAGACCGTCCTATTGATCTGTGTAAAGTGCTGCGTGTGATTGGCAGGAACTATTGATCTCTGACTAAGTGGCTGCTGCTTTAATGATGTGTCGATGGACAGGCTCATCGACCTGCAGTCCAAGCTCATCATTGCCATCGACGTGGCGAAGGGCATGGAGTACCTGCACAACCTCACCCAGCCCATCATCCACCGGGACCTCAACAGGTGAGGGAGTCATGTGCTGTTAGGGTATCATCAGTCTGAGATAACTGTGGTTGTTCCTAATGACATGTGATCTCTACAGCCACAATATCCTGCTGTATGAGGACGGACATGCAGTGGTGGCTGATTTTGGAGGTAAGAGATACTCTGGATTTAGTGTTTATTGGGAAAAGGATTGATTTATTCCCAGGACAAACTACTCTGCAGTAGTCACAGATATTTAGGGGCTCCAGCTCTGATTGGCAGTGATGGAAACATGGCATCTTGCTGACTCTTGTTTTGACCCTTTCCCAGCGCAAGGCAACAGTGTGTGTTCCAGTAAATATTTAATTAATACAAAAAATAATTGACATTTTGGGCAATTATTATGTGGCTTAAACTCCTCTCTTCAAAGCCACCATTGACAGAAACAGTCATTTTTACCTTGCTATTCATCCTAAAACCAACTTAATTTGGACTCGATAGAAAATAAAACGTGTAAAAAATGTGCATCTTTCTCAGGAGAAAGCTTGTGTATTTCACAGCGCCATCTACTGACCTCACAGTGTATTACCCTCATGTAAAGATTGTAAAGAGCTTTTCAAGTATTTAAGGGGTTGACTGTTTGAATAAAAAACTAAACATATATAATTTGCAACCTACTACACATATCCTTCTTTTAACTTTTTAATGCTATTTTATTTCTATTTCTGAAATATATTGGACTGTTTATTTCTGTGTCTTAGTTTCTCCTATGTACATTGCCTTGTGTTTTATTACGCTGCTGCAACGCAAACATAAATATCAATAAAGTACCTATCTATCTATCTATCTATCTATCTATCTATCTATCTATCTGTCTGTCTGTCTGTCTGTCTGTCTGTCTGTCTGTCTGTCTGTCTGTCTGTCTGTCTGTCTGTCTGTCTGTCTGTCTGTCTGTCTGTCTGTCTGTCTGTCTGTCTGTCTGTCTATCTGTCTATCTTCCTCTGCAGAATCTAGATTTCTAAAGTTTGTGGACGAGGATAACATGACCAAGCAGCCGGGGGTTAGTGTCCTTTCTGTCTCTGATTTATTTGATGACATGCACAAACCTTTTGCAAGTAGTGTTTCTCCCTCTTTGGCCAAATATTCTAACACCCTCTGCAGCATCCATGAAAGAATGCTGTTATTTAGTTGGAGTTCAAACCAGAGCTTCTACTAGCACCTGCCATCAATTACCCACCAGCTTCAAAAAGAAAAACTGCCTTCATGCAGATTTTACCTCAATGTGCTGACTCATCATTACCCAGAGTGCTTGGCCTGCAGTTTGGTGTTAAGTGTGTTTCATCTCCTGGGACCTGCCTGTTGTGAGGAACTACTTGCCCTTGCTGGGACGCAGAGTTTCTGTCAGTAATTGGTTCTCATTTAGTGTGTGTGTGTGTGTGTGTGTGTAGAACCTGCGCTGGATGGCTCCGGAGGTTTTCACTCAGTGTA